GTAGGTTTAGTAAGTTTTGTGCTATATAAAAATGATGGCTTAAACCATTTGTCATCAGTCGGATGAGGTGGCGCACACCAGCAATTCCAGCAATGCAGGAGGCTGAGGGAGGAGGATTGCAAGTTCAAGACCACCCAGCAACTTTGCTGTCTCTGAATAAAAAATAAAAAGGGGACTGAGGATGTAGCTCAGTGATAAAACTGCCTTTGTGTTCAATCCCTAGTCTCCCCCGACCTGGGAAATAAAAAACAATTTGTCATAAAAAATCCTCTGTGGTTATGAAGGGGTTTCTTATGTCTCCTGTGGCACCCCCGCATGCAGCCATCATAGTGTGCCTCTGAGGCACCTGTCCTAGGTAAGAGACATGGCAGAGTGTGGCTCCAAAATGAGTCCATTTTCTGTTTCATTTTTAAATTGGTTGAACTTCCCTGCCACTGGCCCAGGTTACATCTCTGACTACCATTTACTGAGTATGGACTATGTGCCAGGATCCATGCCGAATGCTTTTATTTGTGTTAATCATTTAAATTTTTACACTCAACTGAAACTCAGAGAGGTGAAGTAACTTGACTAAGGTCACACAGCTATAAAGTGGCAGAGTGAAAATTCAAATACCACTCTGAACTTTGGCTCCAAAGTAGACTGGGGCCCCCTGCTGCCCCTGGAAGGCAAAGGCTAGAGACCTGGCTGAGTAGTAACCCCCACCCCCCAACCCCAGAAGGAGACTGTCATGGTACATCTAGAAGCAGCATGACTGTATTAACATAAGAAGCATCGTAAAAGCTTGGTTTCATCTAGCTCTGCCTCTGACTAGCTGTAGGTTCTTGAGAGATCCCCTTACCCTTTTTCGTAAGGTGGGGTTGAAAGGGACAATGGGTAGAAAGGAGAGCACTAAGCTAACATCCTCGGTGCCTTTCTTGCTCTGCTGCTTACCAGCTGTGTCACCATAGGCAGGCCCCTGGGGCTCTACACCTCTGGGCCCTCACTTCCAAAATATGAAAAATAACCCCACTTTATAGTGGGAGTTAAAAATAACATGTTGCAAAGCACGTGGGACAGAGTTTGGTATGCAGTAGTTGCTCCATAAATGCCTATAGGATTACAATGGTAGTAATCCTGGTGATCATAGTATCAATAATAGCATTCAAATTAAAAAATTGTGATTATTAAAATAAAAATAAAGCTTGGGGCTGGGGTTGTGGCTCAGTAGTAGAGTACTCGCCTAGCATGCATGAGGCACTGGTTTCGATCCTCAGCACCACATAAATGTAAAATAAAGATATTGTGTCCACCTAAAACTAAAAAATAAATATAAAAAAAAATAAGGAACTGTAGAACATCCACCTTAATGTACCCCCAAGTCACTGTGCTGGGTGAAGGCCTGAGTTGCCTTCAACAGGTAGGAGGGGCGGTGGCCTGGAGAAACAGTGCCTGGGGCAGGTTGACACTGGGCAG